CAAACCCTCCTCCCAGCAGCCCAGCAGTGCTCCCACCCTGCTGCCATCCATCTCCACAGGATGGGCACGGAACAGCATCTCTTGGAACAGCTCTGGTCATGCTGTCATCCCTGGAGGAGCCACCTGGCCTCCACACAACGCTGCTGCTGTTCTGCTGCTCCCCAGGCCCTGCACACACACAGTGGTCCAGCTCGGGCTGCCAGCCCTTCTCTGCCTGTCTGTGGGCTCAGCTCTCTGCTCTCCAGAGCCTCACGGAGAAGCTGGGCAGCACTGGATGCTCCCCGGGCTGCACTGGGTGCTCCTTGAGCAGCACTGGATGCTCCTTGAGCAGCACTGGATGCTCCGTGAGCAGCACTGGATGCTCTGTGAGCAGCACTGGTTGCTCCCTGGGCTGCACTGGATGCTCCGTGAGCAGCACTGGATGCTCCCTGGGCAGCATGGATGCTCCCTGAGCAGCACTGGATGCTCCGTGAGCAGCACTGGATGCTCCTTGAGCAGCACTGGATGCTCCTTGAGCAGCACTGGGCGCTCCTGTTCCACCCTCACAGCTCAGGGGCGCTCAGAGTGAGACACTTGACCAGCACATAAATCCAGGATTTAAAGCAGCAGTAAACACCTTCATGCTCCACCACTGGGAAGGCTTGGATGGAGCTCCCAGACCCTGCAGGGTTCCTGGGCTTCTTCTTTGCAAATGCCTTCTCTCTCTTCCCGTTATCTCCTTCAGCTTCCTCACAGCACCAGGAAGGAGCTGTCACCACCTGAGATGCCTCTGGTGACAGGAGATTTCCTCCATCACCCAAACTGTTCATTTTGTTCTCTGATTCTAGCTCAGGATTGGGCTTTCCAGGCTGTGAGATCTTTGTGCCTGCTGCCATCCCACTCTGAGAGTGGCACCAAGCCCCTGGTGTGCCACGCTGTCCCCAGAGCCCTGATCCTGCTCACACCAGCCACAGGGCCCATTTCTGGCAGAGATTAAAGACATCAAGACATCAAGTTTCTGCAGAAAAAACCTCTTCTTTCCATCCATCTCCTGATTTTCTGTCTCTAACTCTACCCCAGGTGCCAGCTCATGCCCCATGCTTGCAGGTGCCTGTTCCTGGAGCTGGATACAAGGGAAATCTGAAATAAGAAAGATTTCAGTATCCCTCTAAATCACCATCTTTGTTGTTTTCTCTTTAAGCTGCGAGCAAAAGAAATCAAGAGGCCTTCCTGTGCCCACATGGGCTGGACATACGTTCTGTGAAGAAAGGGGGAAGCGCTGAATCCCAGTGATGCAAGGAGGTGAATCTTCAGCCCACCTTGACTCTCCCCCCACCCCAGGGATACCTGTGGCCCTCCAGGAGCAAAGCCCAGTGTGCAGAGCAGGAGGCAGGGCTGAGGCATTGCAGGGATGGCCACAATCTGCTCTTTGCCAGCTCCAACCACAATTTCACTGCTCCGTGAATGGCGAGGGGGATTCTGCTGAAGGACCAGGAATTCCTGGGATACAGGAGCCCAGAATCCAGGGACACTCTGCACATCAGCTGGCACCAGAGAGCACAAGCTGTGCTGTCACATTCCAGGCCAGCCACAAATGGGAATTCTTCTCACAAGGAAGAATTGCTTCCCTATGTCCATCCCTGCCCTCTGGCAGTGGGAGCCATTCCCTGTGTCCTGTCCCTCCATGCCTGTCCCCAGTCCCTCTGCAGCTCTCCTGGAGCCCCTTCAGGCCCTGCAAGGGCTCTGAGCTCTCCCTGGAGCTGCTCCTCTCCAGGGCAGCACCCCCAGCTCTGCCAGCCTGGCTCCAGCCCCTCTGGGCTCTCTCTTGCAGCTCCAGCTGCTGCTGCTGTTGGACCCAGAGATTAAAATTATCACCCCTGAAGCCCTTCCCCTTTTCACCGCTCTCTGCAAGTCCTTCCTAGCAATGCCCCTCTGTTTCCCCTGCTGCCCTGATGGAGATGTTTGAAGGGGTTTGGGTGAACAGCAGGCTGTTGCAGCTCCCCCAGGAAAGGCTGGTGCCTCCTCTCCCAGCTCTTCCCTTGCACAGGGCTGATTGAAAAGCCCATTTGTAGCACAGGGCTGCGGGCAGGTTATGAAAGTGCTGAGACAAATGGGGACACAAAGTGCAAGTCAATGGAGTTATTTTGTGGCTCTGCAGCAGCAGCAGCAGCTGAGCTCAGGGCTGTGGATCCTGGCCCCACATCAGGGCTAAAACTTATGGGAAACTTCAGGCACATCCCCAGTGCAGACCCAGGAAATAAAGGCCAGCCTTGTCAGGAGCAAGGTGCTGAGTTACATCTCTGCTGGGTCTCATAAAGAATACATTCACCCTTGGCAAAACCAAGCTCTTTATCTTCATCTGCGGAGGAATCTGTCTGACAGTTCAATGCTGCCAGCACCAATCCATCTGTGATCATGAACCAGGCTCCAAAACCCATGGCAAATAACAACACACGGGTGTGCTCTGTTTGTCTTCTGGTTCCTGAGTCCTCAGGTCAAACTCACTGCATGTTTGGTGGGCAATCAAGAGGACAAGACAATTCTCTTTTTAAAAAATTTTTAATGAGAATGAAAACAGAATCTGCTGCTATTTTGAACCACGGGCTGTGGCATGAGAGAGACCCTGAGCAAAACCATGACAGCCAGGTTGGAGCAGCCTGGGACAGTGAAGGTGTCCCTGCCCACATCAAGGAATGAGATGAGTTTATTGTCCCTTCACACCCAGCCCAGCCTGCGATCCCCTGCTCCATCCTCCTGGGTGACCAACGCTGGTGACAGCTCCTCAGGGAGCTCTCCTGAGGGTGGCTGTGCCTGGGGGATGCTCATCAGAGGGTTCCCCATGGAGTTACTTTCCCCGTGTGTCACTCCCCCGTGCCTGGGAGCCAGTGGGCTCTGAGGAGCTCCAAAGTCACACCTTTGGGAGGGTTTGAGGCAGCCACTGGCTGCTGAGGCCCAAGAAGGCGATTTACTGATTCCTGGGAGCACCCAGTCCAACCTGGAATGGGAAACCTGGTCCCTTTCTCAGAGTCTGAGCATGTTCCCAAGCACAAACCCAAACAGATATCTGTAATCTGTGCAAACCAGTGGCACAGAGAGGACAGTGGTAAGAGATCCTCCTCCAGGGATGGAGAGCAGCAACCAAACCAAGCAAGGGGCAGGGGTGGAGAAAGGCTGGATGAAGCCAGGGGGAAGGACAGAGAGGAAAAATGGGAGAGCACAGCGTGTGTGCACCGTGACCTGTGCCACCTGCACCCATGGAAGGTGGGCAAGAGGAACGGCGGTGCCAAAGCCCTGCCAGCTGCTCGGGAGGGGGAGCAGCAGGGAACGCTCCCGACAGGCTGGGCAGGGCTGAGGTCTTGGCTGGGCACGGCAGGCTTTGAGGCTGGAGCCTTGCACGGGCTTAGGGCTCCCTCTGCTGGCCAGCCCTGAGCGCGGCACATCCCGGGCTGCAGAGCCAGGAGGGACGGGGATGGAAAGGAGCTCAGAGCCCCCGCAGTGCCACCCCTGCCCTGGCAGGGACACCCTCACTGGCCCAGGCTGCTCCAGGGCCCGTCAGCCTGGCCTTGGGCATTCCAGGGATCCAGGGGCAGCCACAGCTCCCCTGGCACCCTGGGCCATTTCTTTATGGCTCTTGTTGTAAAACATTCCTTCCCAGTGCTCCGTTTAACCCTGCCCTGTGGCAGTGTAAAACCAGTGTCCCTCGTGGGGCTTTGGGTCGGAAGGCACGCTGGAGACACAGAAACCAAGGCTGGATGTGCAGGAGCAATGTGGGAGCACAGCTGGCAGAGATCCCTTCCCGAATCCCAGTGAGCCTGGGGCTCCGCACAGCTCCGGTGGGGAGGTGTCCCCTGCACCACGTTCTCTGTCCCTCCCGGGGGCTCCCCAGCGCCCAGCCCCCGGCCCAGGCTGATCCTGGGGGCAGCAGCTTTGTTGGGAACTCGGGAATGGCACACTGCCCTGACTGCGGCCAGCAGCAGCAGCAGCGCCTGCGGGACAGACACACAGACTGCTGGACACGGGCCATCCCAAACCGCTGCCATAACTCATCTCAGGGAAGCCAGCACGAGCTTTTTGTTTCACGAGAAGCAACTTTTTTGTCAACTGGCACTGGATGGAGCCCGCAACACCAGGGATCCGCATGCTGGTATCCTTTTAGTCATTCAACAGCCAGAGACAACTAAAGATAGACGTGTGGGTGAGATGGAAAGTTAACGATATCCCCCAGCAAGCTCCTGGCGCGGGTGCAGAGGCTGTTTCCTGGGCATGGATCGCCCCTGCCTCTCTCCAGCCGAGGAGAGAGGAGCCTGCTCAGGGGCTCAGAGGTGTGGGGCTTCACCTCTGCCTCTCAGCCACGTTCTCTCTTCTGCCAACCCAACGTAGCTGGGAGGCTCCATCAGAGGGGGTGCTAAAATATGATGAGAAGACAGATTGGTTTGGTGCCCCAGGAAAGAGATGAGGAGCAGAAGAGAAGTGCAAGAGATTTCCATAGCAACTGGTGCAGAGGCTCTGCCTCCTCTGGTTTGCTGTGAGTCACCATCCATGGTGGTTTAACTCTGGCTGGACGTGGGGTACCCACCAAAGCTGCTCTGTCACCCCCTCCTCAGCTGGACAGCGGAGGGAAGGCTGAACAAAGGGCTCATGGGCCAGGATAGGGACAGAGAGACCAGCCACCCACTACAGTCACAGCTGGCAGAGCTGCGGTGTTCTCACCTGGGGACACCTCAGAGCCCTGGCAGGGCCTGAAGGGGCTCCAGGAGAGCTGCAGAGGGACTGGGGACAAGGCATGGAGGGACAGGACCCAGGGAATGGCTCCCACTGCCAGAGGACAGGGATGGAGGGGATCTTGGCAATGAGGAATTGTTCCCTGTGAGGATGGAAGAACCCTGGCACAGGTGTCCAGAGGAGCTGGGGCTGCCCCTGGACCCCTGGCAGTGCCCCAGGCCAGGCTGGACAGGGCTTGGAGCAGCCTGGGACAGTGGGAGGCGTCCCTGCCCATGGCANGGTGCCGGTGCCGGACGTGCCTCGTTGCAGCTGCAGCGGATGCAGTACATGAGCCCCTGCGGCTCCAGGTACGGGTGCCAGCTCTCCCCCGGGCTGTACTTCTTGCCGTTGAAGTCGCAGAACGCCTCCGGCCCTGCAAGCAAGCACCAGAGGCCAGGTGAGAAACGGGGCTGTTCCTGTGGGACAGCAAGCACAGCCTGCACCTTGCTCCCCACATCACACCAAACCCAGATTTTGATTTGTTCACCCCAGTTTTACTTTTTTTTTTGCATGCGTTTTTTACCCTGGGACCCATCCGGCCCAAGTGGCAGCCCCTCTGAGCAAACTGGACTCCCTTTGCAAGAAAGGGACAGAACGGGCGGGTTTGAGGCAGGAAATCGCATTTTCACTCTGACACAGAAATGCTCACTGCAAGATGGGTCCACAAAGGTCTTTATAGGTCCTCTCCTTGTCTTTGAGCCTCTCCTGGATGGCTTTAGGCACTTGATTCCCCAAGCTACACCTTCACAAGTGGTGAGCAGCAGCTGCCGAGGCTGGCTGGCCCAGGCACAGCACATGTGGGGGTTTGCAGTGGCTTTGGGGGTTACCAGAGGGACTGGCAGAGCTGTTCTCCTTCCTTTTCCCTGATCAGGGCTTCACATTGTCCCCACAGCTCTTGAGAGCCAGCAATCCCTGCTCCTGGCCACGAGCTCACAGCAAACCACACAGAACTGGACAGCATGCGGCTTGAGGATGAGGAAACCCAGAGAGAGGAAAAAACAAAACAAAACAAAACAAAATTACAAAAAAAATCTAACAAAAAAAAAATCATGGTTTTGCAAAAGGGTGAGAAAATGACCTCATCTCTCCCTGCTTGCAGCATCCCCATGAATTATGCTGAGGGTGAAGAAACGGAGCTGCCTTGGTGTGACGCTCAGCTCGCAGCTCCCATGCCAGTTGGCTGCTCCCTGCAAGCATTTAATCACAAGTGGAGCCCTGGTTTGGGTCCAGCCCTCGAAAGCAGCCTGATTCATGTCTGCAGAGGGCTGCTGGTAAAATTAAAGCTGACTGGCAGGGCTGGGCAGCAGGAGACACTTGCTGGCATCTCTGCAGTGCTGGGGCTTTGGCAAGAGGTGCCAGTGTGCTTGGGCATGGGTGGATGGATGGATGGATGGATGGATGGATGGATGGATGGATGGATGGATGGATGGAGTTTAAAAGCTGGAGGCTGTGGACCATTTTTTCCCATGCCAGGCTGATAATTTCATTTTCAGAGGTCAAACTCTGGACATCATCCTAGTTCACTTGGAGTGAGTGAAAAGCCATTTGTGGCAGTGGATTCCTCCCGTGCTGATCAGCAGGGTGAGCTCACTTAGTGCACCTTCAGCAGCAGCACACTCAGCAAAGTCCTGTGGGTTTACTTCTCTGGCCCTAGAGCAGGTCAGGAAGCTGTGGGGTGGCACCTTGTTGGTGGCTGGAGCTGTTGAGGTGCATCCCAAGCAGATGCACACCCTTCTCGTGGTGTGAGAGGTGCAGCCAGGCTGGGTTGCTCCACACCCTTCAGTTTGTCACCCTGGGCTGGTGTCTCTGGAGCACCTGGTGAGGATGCTGCTCAGAGCTCCTGCCACAGCCCCTGGTTTGTTTCCATTTCCTGGCAGCTGGAAAGCTCCCCAAGATGCCTGTCCTGAGTCTTTGATGGCCTTTCCCACCTGAGCCACGCGGGGCTCTGTGGCTCTGTCTCTGGGAGGGTTCTGAGCAGTTTGGCGGCTCAGCACGAGGCTGGGGGGTCTTGCTGCTCTCCCCTCACTCCTCCTGTCCCGTTCCCTCCTGAGGCTGGTCCTGCATCCCCAGGTGGCACCGTGGGAGCTGTCCTGGAGCAGGGCAGGTCTGAGCCGGGCTCCCAGCGCCTCGCTGGGGTCACACACCTGCCCGTCAGGGCCGTGCTGGGCACCAGGGAGGAGCTCGTGCAAAGCAGTTTTTAAGAGCAGCCATAAATAAAGTGCAAAGAGCACCGTCTGGTACACAGAGTCCAGGCGCTCCTGTGACAGCCTTGTATTTATGAAGGGCTTAAAATGCAGCTTTGCTGAGCAGGGACTGGCTAAAACACACGGGGCCCCTGACATGTGGCGTCCCAGAGACTCTGCTCACATCCACATCAATTCCTGCACACTCGCCTCGCTCGGCTCTGGGCTGGAAATGCCTTCTGGGCGCTTTGGGAGCCTGGAGAACTCTGTGGCCATGAAAATGCAGCCTCAGGAATCATCTCTGAGCTCTCCAGAGTGGAGAAGCCAGGCAGACAGGGTCCTGCATTCCCTCCTTCCCAAGGGAATGCTCTGTTACCTCTAGCAGGGTGTGCAGCCCTCACCATGGGTAGCACTCGCTTTCCATCCTGGTCCTTCCCATCTTGGAGCACCCTTCATCCCTGCTGGATCCAAACTTTTGGGACAGAGGGATCCCAGGAACCCCCTTGTCTCAAGAAACCATCTTAAAAAGAAATTAAACAGCAGCTTCCAAGCTCCTGGGGAAATCCACTGCCCTGTGCTCTCCAGAGATGCTGGTGTCCAAATGCCTCCAGCCAAAACATCCCTGTGCTCACCCACTGCCCCTGAATTACTCAGAATGCAGCACATTCATCCCAGTAACCTGTGCCTCTGATACTTCTCTTCAGCTGGAGTGCAAATCCCCTAAAATAGCCTGTTTCTGTGGGCAAATTCTTCTTTCCTGACTTGCCTTCGAGCCCGGGCATTTCTGCTCCTCACCTATTTTTAGCCACGACACTGTAGGTCCCTTGGCTGATGAGCCTGCTCGTAACTAATTTATTCCTGTCTCCACTCTCCCTGCACACCAGCCCTGAGCAGAGGGGAGCCTGCAGAGGTGGGCAGTGAGAGAAACCCACGGTTTGGTGATGACTCCACGGTTTGGTGATGACTCCAGGGTTTGGTGATGCCTCCAGGGTTTGGTGATGACTCTGCCCCCCAAACCAGCCTGCCCGTGACCTCGAGGTGAGTCCTCCATGTGGTGAGGTGAGCCCTGTGGCAAAGCTGCAGTGTTCCAGCCCTGCTCCAATCCCACAGCCACCAGCTCTCCATCAACGTTTCAGTCCTGCAAACAGCCCCCAACACCCCCCAGAGCAGACAAACCCTCACTGCCCCCAGCCAGCACAGTTTATGCCCAGCTTAGGGGCTGTTGCCACCTGCAAAGAGCAAACCCCTCACCTCACACCTGCCTCACCTCCTGGACACGGCTCCCTGCCCTTCCAGCAGGGACAGGGACCCACACCCACTCCCTGCTCAAGGGGCAGATGCTGTGTGCTGGGTTTGGATGAGGCCAGGGAAGGGAGAGGAGCTGAATTCACCAGAGTTTGCTGCCCAGGGCTTTGCAGAGCCCCGTCCATGCCCCCAGCACACCCCAGGGTCAGGATGGCGATGCAGGGCTCACATTTTGGGCCCTCACTCCCTCCAGGAGGATGGTTATTGGAGTGCCTAATGCACTGCTGGCAGCAGGCACGCTGTAAATCACCCTGACAGAGCCACCGGCAGGCTCCGCTGGGATTCCAGGAGATTAAAGGGAGGAATAGCTGCAGGGACACGGCAGGTCCTGCTCCAGTTTGCCCGGAGCCCTGGGGGCTCTGCCATGTCACCCAGCACCCACTGGGAGGGTCCCGGTGCTTTTCCCAACCAAGCCCACCTCCCGCTCCAATTAACACATCCAGCACTCTCCAAACTCCTGAGCAGCTCTGGCCGAGCCCTTCGAGCCTTTCCGTGGCAGTGCCAAACCTCCAGTCCTTATCCCAACCCTTCTGTGCCTCAACTGGGAGCAAAAGGGGGAGAGACTGCGGGATGAACAAGGGATGGGCAAGGGATGGAC